AGCCTGATCTTTATAAGTTATCTAATTGGCCAAGTCGTACATGCACCTGAGTCCCAATCAGTTTCCTTTCAAAACCAGTCAAGATTTATTTGCACTAGTCGTAATAATCACCTCTGAACTTGTAACGGCGCCCCCCCTACTCTCCATTACTCCCGGCTACATTGAGTGATGCCCTGACCCACCAACACATGACACCTACCGGCTGACTGCATTGAATCGCGGGAAACATGACCCTTGTACATGCACTGGCTGCAGTGGCGGAGTACCCCATGCGCACTTGAATTACACATGTGCAGTGTAGATTATTGATTAAATCGGATCTCACTGAACTTATACAAGTTTGCCTGCAACTCAGACTTCGGGCAAGTCATATTAAGTGTATGGGTCCGACTGATACGACTTATGTGAATTTTACTGTAGTCTCTGGAATTAGGTAAACATGATGAATCTTTCCAGGGAGAGTGCGTACAAGCAGGAGGAACGACCCTCTGCATGTGGTATACATATGTGAAACTCAGGTTGGGTTGATAATTATAAATACAGTTCTTTTAAGCATGGTGGTGGGTTTTCCTGTGTGCCAAACATACTAGGCTAACGCCCAAAATGGGACATGTAACAGCTTACTACTGTATATACCACTTTAAATGTCTAATTAATTCATTGTGAATTTCACACAAAACACAACTTTACAATGTACATCCATGCAAGAATCTCCTAATTTAAAAGATTACTTTTGTCCCCACTGCCACCAATTCATTAATACGGACATCGAATTGAATCGGAAGTAGCATCACGGGTACGACTTAGAAAGAGCAACAACTTCCATTTATAACAGTGCCCTTCAGCGGAGACGTAACAGTGGCGGAGCTTAATGCCGAGCCAGGGAGAGAGCGGAGGTTACGTAAACATGTAGGTTGAAAAGTCCTCAAATATGATCTAAAGGTTTTCAAATGTGATCTGAACATACACCTCAGAATATGCTCTTTGGGACGTCCTCCCGACGTGAAAGGCGCTATACAAATGTAATCTTGTTGTTGTTGCAACAAGGTACTCAACAAAAACAAAATTACATTTGTATAGCGGGAGGACGTTCCAAGGCGCTGAATTCTCCCCCATTCAACCCCAAAGAAACCTTCAAATTGAAAAGCAGCAAATCAAAAACCTGAATCATAGCAGGAACGAAAATGATAGTTTCCTTCCACAATACAGCAAAGGTTAAAATGATAGCAAAAGGAGTTTCTGGAAGTCTTAAAAAAACCTGCACAATGGAAACTGGTTCAACAGTCAAAATAACAAAACACCTTCCTGTAAAATGCCGGGGGGGGGGGGGGGTCCCAAGTCTCTCCATACAGATGCCTGATTTGTTAATATCGTGGAAGACTTAATGGTTTTGACTCAGGTGCATTATCGATAACATTCAACATGAGTTGCTACATTTTTTAACTTGTTGTCCACAGCTCCATTGTGTTTAAAATGTGACGCTCCGTACAAGGCTGTACATGTCTGAACAGTTATACAGTTGACATCGAAAGGAATAATTACATGTTAGAAAACGTCAATCTGACCAGAGGGGAGCAAGAGGGAAACAAGAACACTGACCCCGTACAAGCAACTGGACACAAATCTGAGAATTTTTAACAGCTTTGTACCGAATATTACTTTTGAGAAAGTCAGCAACGGAAGGTGGAAAAATGCCTTTTCAACCTTGTTCCCGTGGAAACCACAATGTGCCCCAACAACGGCTGCCTTTTGAAGTCTCACTGTGTTATCTGGTCGGAAATGAATAATTTTATTGGTTACGGAGGACACAATACCACTAAACTGTCTTAGCATAGGGCAGCAAAGCACTCAACATGACCTAGATCCAACAGCTTCTTGAGCTATTGTGCTTCTTTTTTAATCCGGCCAGTAACAAAGCTCTGAGCTCGCTAGAGTATTCTTATCTCCCACTCGCAGAAGACAAATTAGTCATGCTAATCAAATGCAATAATATTCCACTCTCATGGCCTGAGAGCATTCCTTGCAGCACAAGACCATTTTCTACCAAATTTCTGTTCTGACAGAAGTCTAAGATAAGCATGTGCAGTACAAAAGGTACTCTACTTCTCACTTCACTCTACTCCTGTCCTGTGGTGGAACAGAAGGCTTAGTAAGCAGAGCACGCACCCAAATGGAATAAAAATGAAATCATTCTACCAGATAGACAACTGTTAAGTCTCTTGTGGCTCAGCTTTTCTCTGCGTTCCTTTATCAGTGTGTGGGCGGACTGCCCTGCTTCACACACAATGCAATCCATATAATCTCTAGGAACCTGTTTAGGAATCCAGTGCCCAGTTTATAGAACACCTTAACTTTCAATGGCTTATTCCCTAACAATTATTACCTTGCCACAGTTGTAAGTAAACACTTCTCTAGTATCAGCTATGAATATTTTGAGAACCCAGCTGTTCAATTGAAATATTGAAGGATACAAAAATAAGTTATTTAGGGCACCTGATGCCCTATTCATTGGTTTTAAATTGGTGGAAACAAATGAGCCATATACTGAGGTCCTCATCGACATTTTTTGATTTTATTTCAGCTCTGCAACAAAGTGAAATGTTAATTTTTTACGCTTGTGTTCCAATTACTGCTACACTTCAGCCTGACACAGTTCGTAGCACTCTCATGTGTACAACATACCTGCATTGAATCGTGGAAAAGGTTGATCTGTCACCCAATGCGCAGAAGAACTTAATTTCTCGCAATCCAATACAATACCAATACTTGCCAGGAAGAGCGCATTATGGGACGAGTCAAGGTGCACTGAACTGTAGTCTTGACCTGGCATCGCTTGTACACTTATTGGCTGCACTGACAAAGCACAGCATGCACAGTTACCGGCTGCATTGAATTATGCACGTGCAATGTGGGTTATTCATGAAACCAGATTTTTGACTTTTACAGCTTGCCCGTAACTCAGACGCGGAAGTCATATTAAATGTTACGGTCCCGACTGATACGACTTCAAATCTTACAGCACAGGAGGCCATTCGGCCTATCGAGCCTTTTATGTTTGATAGAGCTACCAACTGGCTCTGCTCCCCCACTCTTACTCCACAGACCTGCAAATTTTTTAGTTTTTAAGTAGTTTTCCAATTCCCTTGTGAAAGCGATTATCGAATCTGCTTCCACCACTCTTTCAGGCAGTGCATTCCAGATCGTGATAATTCTCTGGGTAAAAAAGGTTCTCCATGTCTCCCCTCTGGTTCTTTTGCCAATTATCTTCTATCTGTGTCCTCTGGTTACTGACCCACCCAACAGAGAAAATAGTTTCTCTCTACTTACTCTTTCAAAACCCCTCATAATTTTGAACACCTCTATTAAATCTCCCCTCAACCTTCTCAGTTCTAAGGAGAATAATCCCAGTTATGTGAGTTTTATTATAAAACTGAGTTGCAACTTCTATGTAACAATTCATTCAAGGCTTGATCCATTTACTTTCTATCTCCTGAACTTACTAAGTAACACTCTCTTCCCCACAAACCTGAAAAGCCACCAATTTCTCCCATTGGAAAATTTCTGTTGGCAGCAAACAATCTGGAACAAGCCAACATAATTATTGTTTTTTTTTGCAGTTTGTGGTTAATTATATAAACAGATATCATCCAACAATCACATTTGAATCCTAAAGACAGGATACTAAAGCTGACAAGTAAAGAATATACATACCTATCTCGGCTACCCTGGTCTCCAACACTCCAGATTTCAACAGAGGAAGTTACCCAATGCCTGCAAATAGTAAAGAAACAGGTAAGAACTGGTCAGTTTGTCTGAGAGGGTATAAAATGGAGGTAAAGCAGTACCAACATCTTCATGCAACTAGATTTACGTTACACAGAAAGGCAGCATGCAACTCAAGCTTTTATAAATTGAAATAAACTTTAGAATTAAAAGTTTGGAAAATAGATACAGAGAAACATTCAAATTATTCTTAAATAGGCAAAATCTAAAATACATGTTATTAGTGCGGTAGGACAAACCACAATTTTTTTTTTAATGGTTTACCTGGACATATCTATTTTTGGGTGCGTTGTTTTCGAGTTTTAATTTAAAGCATTCAGCGTTTAGCAAGAGTTGCATTACATTCATGTTATGATGGGCAAATTTAGACTCTTTAATCAAGACAGGGTTAAAACATAACAAGTTTATTACTAGTTAACACTAATTAGAAATTTATTTACCTATTTTCCTATTTTAATGTTTGGAAGTTTACATTTTTAACAATTTATAACTACACGAGTTAACAAGAAAGGATGTAAATACACATCAGTGTCTTAAAATTACAGATTTAGCATTAGGGTTACCTTGTGTTTTTTGCGAGGTGGTTAAGGTTTAGTCATCCTTTGAGTCCTGCGATATACTCCTTTAAAAAAATCAGCCATCATCTTTCATTTCATCAAAAAGACATTGAGCCCTGTGAACTGACTGGGATTGCTGAGACTTGGTTAAATTAACACTGAAAATTGCAAATACATTTTCAAATTCAGTATAGAAAGACATTAATGTTTTGTATTGTAACCTTGATTTTTGTGGTTTAATTAACCGTTACACCGGTTATTAGAAGACTCAAAACATTGCAGAGATCAGGAGCTTTCCAGTTCAGCCCAATGCAACCACAAGGTCCTGTCCGATATATGATTTAATCGCGTTAAGTCACAATGTAGAAGCTACAAGGAATATTTTTTTCTTTTAACAGTTTTATGTTGAAGCAGTCTTACCTCTATCTTCTTTACATTTTGTTCGGAGATAACATGCTGGCAGAAACAAGTTCATTATATTTATTTTAGCAAAGTCAAACCGTCTATTTTTTTTATTTCACCGTTTCTGCACATATTAACCAAAATTTACCAAAAATCCATGCAACAGTTTAACCTTTTTTTTTCTTTTAACTTCCAAGTCATCTCAAGGACTTTTACTTTTTTTTTTTGTAAATGAAATCATTAGAACACTTTGAGGTCTTTTAGGTTTATATAATGAAAATGTTTATTGTACTGCAGGAAAAGAAAAGCGTTTATTTCTAAGGAAAAGTAAGAGGGAATTCAGTTTAGTTCTATACAAAAAGAATTAAACTTTATTGACAAACTGCTGCAAACGTGTTTGACAAATGTTTAGCTACCTATTTAGGCAAGCTCACACAAGGAGTGTTATGCATATTTATGTCCAGGCACAGATTTCAAGGACAACAGACAATTCAGGTTATATGTTTTAACTACATACATGAACTCGTTTTAGCTGCAGTGTCCCTTTTTACATTAGCATACAGACCCTTTCGAGAATTGTCAGAACTGCAAAATTGAGGGAGAAAAGAAAGTGGAAAGCAGGGGCGTGAAAATGGAAGATAATATGTTAACTTTTTACAATTTCATTTTGTGGCCCTGGGCGATCACGTATCCTGGCACAAACAACCTTCTAAAAGCAGGACTGTTCTAAAGAATTTCCCGGCACTTTTCAACAAGACCAACTGCCTCACACATCTGCCAGCCCCTTCTTCCTGGAACCTCAAATGTTTAATGAAATAAAGGCAAAGGCTCTCCCAATTACTAATGCTTATGGAGTAGCTCAGTTAGCTGCGTTATCCAGCTAGCCAATCAGATTACAAAAAGAAGCAATTTACTACCAAGAGATTCAAAGTTCAAAGCTACAACAGTGCCATCATTTGATTTATAAGAATTTCATTAGAGAAGTCTCATGATATCGATTGCTGCAATATTATAGACCAATAGTCTCATTTTTTGAAAGTTTAGCCTTCAACGTAAAAAGGACTTTTGCCCCAGCCTTAAAATTCTATGTTTAAGAAACAATAGTACCATTCTTTACATCATTGTAGGTTGGTACATCAACATATCACATTGTGCCTGAAAGCACAACAATACTGCTTTCTAACGTACTGAAACTGCTCAAGAGAAGCCAGAGAATAAACCAAACACATTCATTTCCACGCATCTGTCTTAAAAATCATCCTGTGACACTGCACTGCGACTTCTCTAAAGACATCAGAACAGATGTACAATTACCAACAGGATCACACACAGCCTTATTCAATACTGAAACTGCTCACCATCTATCTAAACAATTCAAACAGAATCAAAAACAACCTAGAGGAAACACCTAAAGTCTAAGTTTCAAGCATCCCTGTGGCCAGTGATTTGCTACTAATGAGCTTGAACATTACAAATGCACTGTGGTTTCGAAAAAAAATTCAACCACACAAAAAAGTGCACGTTACATAGATGTAAAAAAAATGAAGTTTCACTTCAATAATTAGCTTTGTGCAATTCATCAAAATACAGTGGCAGTTTTGATCTAGCAATGGTATGTTTCCAGAATAAATAACAAGTTAAGGCCTTTTCCAAGCAAAACCCCACTCCAATGTCCAATTGATGTGCTCTATTATAATTGTAAGATTACAAATTAACTGTGGCTAATTATTTATCTGCTGTGTCTATTTCTTGTGCTGATCCTTGTGGCGCCCTCCCACCATGAACGGCGCTATACAAACGCAATTTGTTGTTGAATTGTGATGCAGGCTGCAGTACTGTTCCTTTTGGTGGATTAAACAGGAAGCATCACAGCTACGACTTGCATTTATGCAGCGCCTTTCATGGCAGGAAGGAGTCCCAAGGCGCTGAACAGTCAAGGATATGCACCTGAGCTGGTGACCCCCTCCCCAACCTCACAGGCAGGACCTACCAAAACCTTGCCAACACAAATTCACATGCTGCAAGTGACTAGCAACTGTTGCAAAAGTAACTTTGAAATAATGCGCATCTATGCAATAACTGAAATATTCACTGGCAAGTAGTCTGTAGGAACATATTTATTGCATCTCCACTATATCAACCTCGAAGGGGTCGTTCAAAACGGTCAAAATCAAATGTACACAACATCCCTTTATAAAAATCCTGAACCTCTGCTCCCGTTTTTTATTTATTTTTTTAAGTACCTCACTTGACTCTCAAACTTGGTCCAAAAAGGGTTAAAAACGTCAAGATTTACATCTTGTCCAAAACGGTAAATTTATAGGTAGTAGCAAAAATGGCTGTAAAGCAATTTGTTTTGAATAAAAATGACAATTCTTTAAAGAGGCCAAGGGTGAATGGAATGTGGTGAAGATTCAATTTGACAGATTTGAAATGCAGCTCATGTAATCCAATGGGATTCTGCAACTTCAAAGATCATTTAAACATTGTCCGAACTGAATCAACTTAACAAAGTAACTCATGGTAAACAAGTCTAAAAATACCTACACAGCAGAATGAAATCCAAACTTCAAATAAAAGCCATCTTTTACACGTACATGAATATTGACAAGATGTGCCAACAGTATAAAAACGACAAAGCATTCTAATCATATGGTCTTATCTGAAATCGCTGTCCTCTAATTTATTGAAACATATCATGCCAGAGTTGCACTACCATGGTTTTAATATCATTTAAACACGTACATAAACCAGTCTGCCCAAAAAAATGTCCATAGAGTAGAAAACAAATGGACTATTACTTGTCTCACAGTTGTTTACAAGATGGTGACCACAGAAGATTGAAGGAAATAAGGACGCACACGTGGTCAGAGGGCTGCCTTAATATCTACCATAGGGGTGTTCTCTGTACATTCCCTTGAGTGGCCTTGCTGGAGGTGCCTTCATGCTTGCTCTGCCCGCATTCCACTCATCTTGTCCTACAGAAGAGAAGCAGATGAGACTTACATTATACAGACCAGCACCCAAATTCATCATGCAAAAGAAAGCTTAATAAGTTATGCCATACACCACCCAAAATAAATGCGACCACCCAATACACATCCATCATTGCTTGCATTAACTCGCAGATGCTCAAACAATGAGAAAGCACCACAGAGCCAATTGGGGTGAGTACTTTCAACCTGCAAACCAGTAATTAAGCATGAAATCCATTTTAAATTGTAGATTTATACACCAAAGGGTGAACTGCATCCCCATAGAACAAATTACCGCAAAACAAAATTTACTTGTAAATATACAATTCTGGCAAAACTCAATGGAATCTAGAAAATCCCAGGCAGTAAAGTGAGAACTGAGTAAAAGGCAGAATTACTTTTTTGAAATTATACTGGATTTTATTAATGTTCACACTTAAAATTGCCACGTACCAACTGTTGACCAAACAACGGTGCTTCATTATATCTCACTAAATGAGTATTATTGATTATTGATCAGGGCAATGTCAAACTTAATGGTGAAATTTAATAAGGATATCCAATTGCGGGCGGCAGTGAATCGATGAAAACAAAACACGACGGTTGCCTCGCATTCAACTGGGCACTGTTACTCAGCAAAGTCACTTGCAGACATTCAAGTATAGTCCAATGAGGCTTCCTTTCATCAAGAACACTCTCATGAATTATTAACAGAACAAGCATAACCAAAACACAGCTGCATTACAAAAAGCTGAAGGCAGCTTGCAGGCCTGGGGTAAAATGGCAATTACTCCCAGATACCAATACTCCTTGCTGCAGCCCTGTTTCCATTATATCTTCTAAAACAGTCTGAATAAGTTCCAATATCCTGAACCAAATTCTCAGTTACAGTCCAGTTTGGGTTCACGTATCTCAGCTGTGGCAGCCGAATTAGTGAACAGAAGTAAGCACCATTGTAGCTATATTGTAATTTATGTCAAAGTTGGTTTTATATCTGTGAACACTACATTGCTCGAAGGAAAATAGCCTTTTTGTGAAGGGCTTTGCTAAAGGTAGTAATACTCTGTATACTCTAGCTTCATTGCTGAAATCACCATTACATCTGAACAACAACAATAAAATTACATTTGTAAAGCGCCTTTCACATCCAAATATCAGTTTCCACAGGCTGCTGAATTTTATTACCCACAAAATTCTAGTCAAAGCTACAATCCCACTCAAAAATAGAAACAAAACATTTCAAGATAACAGCCCTCAGCACAGAGGCCCTCAGGGAGTTGCATGGGAAACTATGAAACACTACTACAGATTAACAGATCCACGAATCCTTTTCAAGCAGATTTTCCTTTCTCCTTCCACTACTAAAGTTTGCCTTCATGCCATATCTTTTTAAACTTTCACTTAAATCTTCTTTTAAAGTGAGAGATTGATTGATTAATTAACAAAAATAATGAGTATAACCTGGAAGAACAGGAACTTATACAGTGAAGCTACCTGCTTCATGTTGAATACGAGATTGAAGGAAAGTTTTTAAAATACATTTTCTATAAACTCAAGAACTTTTCATATATCTTTCATATTCAGTTTCACCTACAAATATAGTCAATTAACATTACAGTATATTGTGTGAAGCGCTTTAAGACATCTAAAAGACATGAAAAGCGCTATATCAAATTCAAGGATTATTATTAATATCCAAGTTGTACAGATCTGGAATGCGTTGTCTGAAAGGGTGGTGGAAGAGCCAATTCGATAACAACTTCTAAGAAAGAAGCAGATAATTATTTGGGGAGGACAAATGTGCAAAGCTATGGAGAGAAAGCAGGGGAGTAGGACTGATTTGGATAGCTTTTAAAAGAGCTGGCAGAAACGATGGGCCAAATGGCCTCCTTCTATGCTGTATAATGCTATGATTCTATGTCCTGACTGCCCAGTGAAGCTCCCTCCTTTAGCACAGGAAGCCAGCTGGTGTATGGGAAGATCCGTACATTTGTATTTGTACACCAGGATTTTATGGACTCTAACTACCTGCTGTATTCTCTATTTCCTCTGCACAGTTGGGGAAATGGTCAGGGTGAGGGGAAGGAAGGGAGCGAGGAGGGGGAAGAGAGTCGAGAGGGGAGCTGAAGGCTCGGTCAAAGAGAAAGGTTTTGAGACCGTCCTTGAAGGAGGAGAGGGAGGAAGCGGCGAAGGCACTGGGGGATAGAGTTCCAGAGCCTAGGGGCTGAGAGGCTGAAGGCCCGACCACCGATGGTAGGGCGATTGGGGCGGGGGACGTGGAGCAGACCGGAGCCGGAGGAACAGAGTGCAGGTAGGTAGGGGGATAGTAGGTTGGAGAGGTAGGAGGGAGCGAGGCCGTGAATGGCCTTGTAGGTGAGGATGAGGATCTTGAAATCAAGAGGCAAAGAGGTAGAGTTGGGTGTCATCCACATACATGTGGAAGTTGAACCCATGTCTGCGGATGACGTCACCTAAGAGGGGCATTCAGTTTTAATGGTGCAAATTTGCACATTGCAGCAATCTTAACAACAGTAATCGAACTGACCATCAAACCAGATGCTTCCAGGTTGCTAATACCATTTGCACCCAGAATGACTTGAGTACGTGCAAACCACCCCAGTTTAGTTTTATATTATACGCATCCCATTTATTTTCTTCAGGACAAACAGCTTAGAAAGTTTTAATGGCCATCCTCTGACAAAATCTTTAATATTTGCTATTTAATATGAAAGCTCTTAACAAAATATATAAACCACAAAGAGCATAGCGTTCAGAAAGATGCAGCAATAGGACCTGGCAGACAATAAAGCACACAAGGAATGAAAACCACTTTGCTGCAAGCTGAAAAATTCTCATTTGTTCAACCTAGAAACTAGCTCCTCAATGACTTGGCAAATGAGTAACAGGAATGAATTCAATTTGTTGCACTTAAAGAAGGTAGTTATACAAAGCTTGGGTTGTAACACACTATCTTGATCAATACTATTCTAAAATCACATTCAAAACCTTAAAACATACTTGCTAATTCACTTCAGTTATCTAGAGAACCCACAGCTCGTCTACCACCACAAGGCAGAGAATAAAATCAATTATGATTCTTGCTTTCAACTGCATATTAATCTGCATCTGGACCGATTCCAAAAGGGATGAAAACTAATTTACTCACCATAATCCTCATACGTTTCCTGGGCCTCTCCGTGTCCATAGTCAAAATACTCGGCATCACTGCAAAAACAAAATAAAGAGTCCAGTCACTGGGTCCCTTGTCTCAGTTTGGATTTGAAAACCTTTTTGTTTAAAAAAAATCATAGAATCATAGAAATTTACAGCGCAAAAGGAGGCCATTCGGTCCATCGAGTCTGCACCGTCTTTTATTTATTCTGGGAGGTAGAAGCACAGGAAAAGAGGGAAATCAAAATCCATTATGAGGAAATGGGCTTCTCCTGTTTCTTAATTTTTCGTCTTTGCTCTCCCCACACCCACCCAATTAACTCCTCCTTAGTCACCTTTTTAGACATGCATTTCTGTACTCAAACAAAAGGGATAGCAGAGGCAAATAAAACACCCAGTAGTAACATCTAACACTCCAGGTCACATTGCCAACAATATGGCTGCCTGGTCACCCTTCCCCATCCACAGAAATTAGACGAATTTGAACCAGCATAAACGTTTTCATAGCCAACCCTGCCATCCTCTGACCTCACAACTTAACAGTGGGCAATTCTGTGCTGGGAATCCCAATTAGACTGCAGCTGAAATTATTCAAATTTAAAAACCACTTTGACCAGAGGAGAGTTTCATCGCATCCAACTTAAGCGATAACTGGATATAATGGATTCCAGCAATGTAAAGATGTGCTACTCCACACCATAATTTTTAAAAATACTGTAATACTTCACGATAATAGTTTTTACTTAAAGAGTTCAGTAATAATTCAAGGGCCACAACAGGCATAGGGTGCACTCAATGAAAGGACATTCACCTCACTGAATAACAAACAATGTTTATCTCTAGCTCATATGGTAGAAGTTTCTATGCATTTTTTTTATATCATGGAAACTGAAAAGGGTACAGATAGAAATGTCACCTGTTAACAGACACTCTCAATGCCAATACATCATGGTCTGAATCATCAATAATTTACAGAGCTCATGACGTTTCATTTCCATAGTACAGAAAGTCATTAGTCCTACACGTGATCCTAAACTTACCCTTGAGATTGCTCATAATAGTTTTCATAACTGTCGTAATTCTGTTCTGCATATCCATCATCATAGACCTGGAATATTTTAAAAAAGAGCAAGTCCTTCAGAGTTACTCCCAAACGTATCTCACAATATTCAGCATGAATGTTTAATGTCACTCTCAATGAAAAGTCAAGAGCTTAGATCTATTTGACCTGATTCTCCCAGACTATGGATAACTTGCCTCAGAAATTTAGGTCAGAATAGGCTACATTTCATTATTAAATACCTATACTGCTACAGTGAGAAGCAATTCAACATCACACAGAGGACACAGGACCCAGACATGGCCATTTATAACTACACAATACACCATGTTAATTGAAATTCTTTACATAAATTCAACTCAACCAGGTCGATTGTGCTCCACCTTGGCCATTTGGGAAAACTGCATCTGAGGCACCAGTTCTGATGCAAATGATCAAATTCTACTGCAGTAATTTGGAACAAGTCTCTTGATAAACCAAAGAATTTCATTTCTTAAGTATTTTGCAAAGTGCCCTCGTTAAATATTTGATACCACTATACCATTCTCTTCACCAAACCTCAATGCAGATACCTGATTGCCAGAACTTGCCCAAATTTATTTAAAAGTCAAAGTCCTGCTCTGACAGAATTACAATTTTTATTTCAAACATTGTTCAGGTCAATCCTCAACAAAAGAGTGGCAGAATACAGATTTGTAGTCACGATCAAAAGCAAGCTATCTTACTTACAATCAGTTGAAACCAAGTGTCATATGGTTATTCACTGCATGGCTGCATGTTTTTAATGAAAGCAAAGCAGATTTATGAGCACAAGCCTGCCTAGTAATGTGCCCTCTGAGGGAGTTCCATTGCATCAATAATGAAATCCTTTTGCTTGAGTATTGGTAAACAAGGAATCTGAAAGTTATCATAATAATAATCCTCACATTTGGTATAATGCCCAGCGTCAGGAGAACGTCCAAAAGTGCTTCACAGGATATACTTTAAAGTGAAGTGACTGTACTTTATGGGCTAATGCGGCAGCGAATTGGCACACAGCAACATCGCACAGCCATGAAGTGAACAACCAATTTTGTTCAGGGGAATTCTTGGCCAGGGAGAAACTACTATGACCAAAGCCAAATACAGCAATACATAAATTCATGCTAGACTTTTCAATTTTATAAAAAGTCAAAAGTATGGGGTTGTTTGGACAGGATAAAGAAAACAATACCCCTGTCGCTTTGGTCAAGTTAATTCAGAGCAGCCTTATTCCATTCCTGTCTAACAGTGATTTAAATTTCAAATACCAATGATGTTCACATTCTTACATATTCATCGTAGGTCTCCTGAGTAGGGGGAGCGTGCAGCGGCTGCCTGTATGCAGTAGGTGCTCCCCGAGCACGTGTAGTTGGAGCACCCCTTTGTGGTGGGACTGCACCGCGACCACCCGGTGGTACTTCCCTCCGGCCTCCAGGCACTCCTCTCACCACCGTGCCACGTGTCATGGCACCTCGTGGCCCGTACTGTGGGGTAGGTGGTGGCGGTGCAGCACCACGTCCCCTAGAAAGCAACCAAATTGAACATACACAAGGATGTTACCATCAGAATTGGACTCCATTCCCACAGATCGACAAAATTCCTGAACTATTATGTACTTAGCATGTTTTATCAGCGCGGGCATAGATGCAGATACTATGAGCAGCTTTACCCATAAGCTCTGAATTTCCAGAAACATTGGTGCTGGCAAAAAAAACTCATACCCCTATATTTCAGTACAAAAGGAAGATATTATTCTGTGTAGGGAATTCTTCATCTCAGACGTCCCTGTGAGTACAGGATTAGTCCCTCTAGCTCCAGACTGTTCAGTATTTTCAAAGAGATGAGACCCAGCCTTCAATAAATTCTTCTGGCACAATGTGAGCTTCAGGTGCAGCACCCTCACATTCTTCACTTAATTTTTACTACATCAATTTAAGAATTCTCTACTTTCCTCAAGGCCTGAAAGATGTAAATGTATGTAGAGGATCTCTTTGCTATCAATGTCCTAAAGATATGCAATCTTCCTTCTTCAGTCTAAACAAGCTTGATACCCCATAAGATACCGACAGAGTAAAAAAAAGTAAAAATTTCTTTCCTCAAAAGAGGGACATCGTGGAATAATTGAAACGGCAGCTGTCAGACTGTAGTGAGAACCAAACTCTAATACATGGTAAATGTGTGAGGATTGCTCTAGTTTGGGGACCGACAATCCAGTCTATCCTTAAGCCGTTCAGCAAATGGGAGCTGAGTGATCCAGGAGGGGTTTTATCAACAGTCATTTTAACATGGAAAGACATTCAGGTAGTCATTAAGTAAAGCTGATTAGATAATATCCAATATCTGAGCACTATAAGAAGCAAATGAATGCAAGGACAAGTATGGCATTCCCAAACTACAGTATAACGGACTCTAAATTTCTGATATTTTGTTACCTTGCAATAGGTACTGGTGGAGCTCCACGCCCACGTACCCCTCTGCCACGGGAAGGGTCTTGCCCACCATTTAAGTACGCCAACTCTGTTAATTGTTCCTGTCTTATTTCATCATTGTAGTCCTGTTAATATTAAAGGCATTGTCAAACTAAGGCAGAAATCAGTAATCTCATAATCAAATTTGTAAAACAAACCACAGTGCAAGAACATGGGTGAAGAATGAGAGGACAATGAATCATAGAATTATACAGCACAGAAGGAGGCCATTCGGCCCCTCGTGCCTGTGCCGGCTCTTTGAAAAGAGGTATAACAAAATTCAATACAGCTCGCTTGACTTTGTTTATCCTCAAGAATTTAATGAACAAAGACTTCCTTTCAAAAATAAAATATTCATGTAACAATATAGAATATTGTAATACTCACACTGATCTAATGTTAGCCTAATTTTGAAATGTCTCAAAACCTTTCACAGATAATCACTGTAAAGTATATTGACTGTTTTTATAGGTTGTTGCAGCCAATTTGGACACAGCAAAGTCCCACAAACAGTTTAGTTATGAAGAGAATACTAGTTAGGAAACCGGGAGAAATCCCTTCTCTTTTTAATCAAATCTTGGCCGAATGCTTCATCCAAAGGACAGCATATCTCACAAGTCCTCCTTCAGCTGTCCAAAGGTCAGCCTAGACTGTGAGCTCAAAACGCTGAGCCACAAATTATAGGTCCAAATAAAAAAACTATCACCATTAAAACCAAAAGCAGATGCCAGCAGCTTTAGCCAGATAGCTCTGCCAGACCAGATGGCCATAGAAAAAGATTCAGTAACAAATAATGGTGCCCATGGGGGATCATATCACTGAATGAGAAAACCCTGGCAATGAATTTTACATTTTCTATCAGGGTGGGATTTTCACAATGTACAAACATTAACAAGTAGAACACTGGCCTTCCAAAAACAATATTAGCATTGCTACGAAATAACAGAGACAATAGGTTTCAACTGACAAAATACTGTATCAGCATTTCACGCAATGCAACAACTACCATCCATATAGTCCAGGGGATAAACATTCACTTCAGATGTCAGCGCACAGCTTTTCAGTAGATATATTTAGTCAAACACTAACCACCACAATCAACTGCTAAAACGTTTGTGCAATTGACAAGGCGACTATTTAATTCAAAAAAGACAAGTAATTTTCAATACATGATCAACTACCCCTATGGCAGCATTCAAAGTGTCAAGCTGGGTCTAAGAAAGAAGGCCATTTACATTAGCTCTATAAAGATTCCAGGCATACAACATTTACTTGACAGTATTTGGACATAATCCAAATAATTTCCAGTTAAGCAAATGAAATGTTCAAACTAAATAACCCACATCATGACAAAAGGAAAAAATGCCCATTGCCATAGTTTATTTTGGTCAGCTGGGTGTCTTGACACATGCAGATACCCATCACCATGCTTAAGAGTATCCGAACCAAACAGAATTCCATGAATCCTGCCTACACATGGAAATTCCAGATAGTTTGCTGGAATGGAATGTTTGCTTAATTCCAAAGTATTACGATCAGGTTGACAAGAGCCAAGGATTGGGGTACTGGAGTCTAGCCAGCTAAAACTACATAGCTTGTCATTGAGTTCACTGTTTGGCAAGCTTTCTCACTGCTTGTCCAGCTAGGACGACCCTATTAATTAGGGCTTTGGCTTAAATAGAGTCCCGGCCTTCAGTAACTGGTCTGCCCTTCCAAACCCTGCTGATGAGGAGCTGCCCTTCCAAGTGCCGTGCTGTCATCAGCAGTGCCCTGGAGTAATGCAGACCCACCTGGCTCAGGAAGTGGACCTCTGAGACCACCACAGAGGGCTGGCTCGATTCTGATATTATGTTGCCAAACACATAATGATGGAGCCAGTTCAGCTTCAAGGAGACCCCACCCATCATTCCACTTCTGGAACCTTGGTTTGCACCCAATCCAGAATGTTGGACCGAAGGCGCCTCTCAGCCAGCTGTAAGGGTACTATAAAATTAGCTTGAGCAGACTCTGCCTGATATCCAATTGGCACCAAACAAAATTGCTCTTAATTCTAAACAATTTGGCAACATCTGAATGGCCGTCTTGACAAATGGAATCATCACACAACAATATTCAACCTGAAGCCAAGTCCACTGGGCACTATGATTTCTGGACATGGTTGGTGAACCGAACAGCCCACTTCCAATAAGAATGAGAATAGAGTAAATCCAAAGCCAGAAAACAAACCACTTAAAAACAATTATTCCCAAATTGCCACTGTTTTGGGAATTTGTGGCCCGGGGGGTGGGGGGGGGCGGCGCTAAGGAAGATTCACAGGCAACAGAAGCTTCAGGCTACTTGAGAACCTACTTTGAAATGCAGCATAATAGAATGAAACCTTTCATTACGATCAACAGCAGTTTACAACCGTAGCAGGAATTAATTTTCACTATCAGTTAAAAAAAAAAATTTTTTTTAAAAAGGGCTTACTCTGCTATTCCCGAATCATGCAGTCTACAGCCAGAAAAAACATTGTGTTGTTCTGAATAGAAGATGAGATTTCTTATCCAAACATAGTTCAAAATTGCTGCTCACCTTAAATTCGCAGACAAAAAAAAAACAAGAGAATGCCAGATTGCAAGATCCCAACAAACACAAGGCAATTATATCCCAATTCTCACATATATGAAACTGGAACATTTTTGCCGGTAGCTCAAAGGTAAGTTTTTATTAACAGTAAACAGTCTAAGGCATTTAGTAGGACAGCGTTAAGAGTGGGAGAGTGAAAGGCCTAATTGAGGGAGGAAGAAAGCGAAAGATAGCGTGTGTTGTGGGGGCGGAGAGAACGTTTCAGCAAAAATGGATAGTCTAGGTGGACATTGAACTCTGTTCAAGTCTATGTCATTTGCAATGATATTCAATGAAACTTACAGGAATAAGAAATTTTTTAAGTTCTTCCATAGCATGATACATTCGAGAATATGCCTCAGTTGGGGGTGCAAATACTTCGACAAGAACGTGGAGTTCAGCGCTTAAGTGTGCATACTTCGCCTCTCCTCCTTTACGCAGTTCATCTTCCTAATGAGGCAAAAAAAATTCATTTTCCATCTGCAATTAACATAACAGGTATATATGCAGCATATTAATAATAATCCTTGCATTTGATATAGCGCCTTATCATGCCTTCAAGACGTCTCAAAAATGCTTCAGATTATACTGTAAAGTGAATTGACTGTATATTTTTGGGCAAAATGTGGCATCCAATTGTGCACAGCAGTGTCCCACAAACTGGCATGGATTGAAGTCACCAATTTATTATTATTATTTTTTCAAAGGAATTATTACACCCGACAAAGCGATCTGCCAATCAATTAACAACCGGGTTCCTACTTACTGCTAGGTAAACAGAGGCATGCGGAACCCAACATTTTGCCCTGCCCAGGAATCGAACCCAGATCTCGCTTGCGAGGCGAGTGCTCTTACCACTAAGCTACAGGACTCCACATCATTATCATTATTATTATATTAGCTAGAACATTAGGTAAATAAACATTTAGCGTTTGTTGAACCATTTGGCCCTTGCATTTCCTTGCTATTAGGCATTAGACTCATGTCACTTGAACATGTCTAATTATAAAATTAGGATTTATATTGCTTGAATCAAACATCAAAATCTATGCAATATTAATTCTCATATACAATGTTATGCAAAACAGGGCATTTTATTATTATTAAAGCAGTGAATATTTCAAGGCCCCAGGCTGCCATCACTATTACGTAAAATATTTCTTTGTCAAGACATTTTGTTTCATCACACAAGCAGTAACAACAAACTACGTTCACACTTAATAGTTAGCAGTAAATTCATGCACAGTGAAGCAAAGGAAGTTTTATTTGTCCTCCTAAATGCTGCACAAACTTACACAATCACTGTATGAACCTTAAACTTTATCTGAAACTACTAATGTAACATCACAAAAAAGGGTAACAAGAATGATTTGCTTATTGATGATTTATTTGTGTACCAAAACAGTATGTCGATCCAATGCTTTAGTGCCTGCCATGTCCCTCCTGTAGCAAAATGATTGCATCAAAGCGGGGAACCTGACAAGTGGAGTCCTGAAGCTCAGTGGTTAGAGCACTCGCTTTGCAAGTGAGAGACCAGAGTTCAATTCCAGGCAGAGGGCGAAACCCTGGGCAAGTTTCCTTACTCCACACAGAGCCTAATAATAATCCCTCCAAAAAACAAAACAATAATAAATTGGTTATTTTTAATCCATGACTGTTTGTGGGACGCTGCTGTGCACAATTGGCTGCCGCGTTCGCCCACAAATATAGTCTATTCACTCTACTGTATACTGTGAAGCGCTTTGGGATGTCTAGAAGATGTGAAAAGCGCTATATCAAATGCAAGGAGTATTATTATAACAATAGCACAAACTGAATGATACGCAAAATCACTTTAAGAGTTAAAGCTAAAACTAAAGACAAAAAGTATAAAAGGACACTGGTAGAGGAACAAATTGGTGTGGTTATGGCTAGTGGATTGGAGTGTTTTCAATAGAGAATAAAGTAATTTAAGATTAGACTCATACTTTGGAATATTATTACATGGTGTAGGAAGTTAACTAAACTTGGATTGGAAGACTACGAGATTGGAAACTGTAATCAAAAGCAAAATAAATTCTGGAACAGAGGAATCAGTTGGTATAACAAGGAAAGTGCAAAAACCGTGTATCCAAATATCAGGTAGGGCACTAAAATGGGCAACTTGAGATACAATTGGCAAGATTTTAAAATTCCGAATCCAGTATTTCAGAATACAACGCAGTATTTCCGAATCCTTCTGATAACCTCAAATTTACTGCAACTGTTGCAAAGACAATGTTCTTAACACCGTTCAGAACATATTGCTTTTGGAGAATGTCATTTGTCATAAAGTCAGCACAGCAAATATTCCAGAGGAAATTAGAACAAATATTGGAAGAGGTACCAGGTGTAATAAATTACATATTTAGAAGGATGGGCAGAGCATGATGAACATCTGGAGAGGGTATTACGAAAGTCCTTGATGTAAAGTTAAACAGGACATACAGTTTCACAAAGAGTTGAAGATCCAAAGAAGGTCAAATAAAGATGTCAGCACCTCAGGACAAGAGGGATAACAACAATAATGGGAATGATGAACTGGGTAGCCCAGGTCATACCAAAAGTGCTGGAGATCATGGCACTAATAAGAGAATTGATAAAAGAGCAGCACAGCAGGCATTTAAAAAGAGGCTCTTAGACAGGCCTCGTTTTAAAATATTATGAGATAAATGCTTCAATAACAATATCAATAGAAGCAAGCAAAACAGAGATAGGTGCGATATTAACACAAGGAGAAAATAAAGGAGCTTTTGCACCACGGACATCATCAGAAGGAAAAGAAATACACAGAAAAATTTTGATGGTAGTTTTTGGATGCAACCAATGTATTTGGAAAGATAACAGTGGAGAGCAAGCACCAAATGACTGCAAAAAAGTAGGTGAATTCAAAAATAAGAAAAATGTTACGTGTAGCGGATAGGTTGAGCAGAGCTGCAAGTTGAAGGAAATGAAGATACGACTAGGAAAAAACAGTCAATGTATGGCAAATAGCAAAAGAAACAAAACAAGGAAAATATAAAGGAAGCCACCAAAAGAGAGTGAGTGCTGCCATTAATAACATGATATGAAATAGACAACTGTAAAACAGGAAGGATTCATCAGAAGAAGTTAAACTATATTGGGATTATAGACATGATTTATAACAAAAAAGGAACACACTGAGGAGACAATAATACTAAAGGAGCTGAAAAAGAAATTTCTGAACATTAATGAAGGGCATTGTGGATGGAGAGAACCAAGCAAAGAGCAAGAGAGGTAGTGTTTTGGCCTGGCATTAACAGAGGCAAAGGCAAAGCGCAGTGAGCCAAATATCAAAACCAGGAGAGGCACAAGCCAATCATGTAGCACAAGAAACCATGTTAAGCCCAGACAACAGTAGGAACAGATTCCTACTATTATATGGGACTACCACATGTCATGTTATTACTGCACTGCAGAACATGACTGCGGGAACAGTAATAAATAATAATAATAATCCTCGCATTTGATATAGCGCTTTTCACGTCGGGAGGACGTCCCAAAGCGCTTCACAGAACACACTGTAAAGTGAATTGACTGTATATTTGTGGGCGAACGCGGCAGCCAATTGCGCACAGCAATGTCTCACAAACAGTCGTAGATTGAAAATGACCAATTTATTATTGTTTTTTTTTGGAGGGATTGGAACCAAGACGATTTTTGCAAGGCACAGAATACCAGAGGTAAGTATCAATGGATTACACTGTGTGAGTGATGAACATAGAAAATTCATGAGCTGGGATTAGAGCATAGGGCAATATCCCCTGAGTAACAGGATGGTGGAAAGACCATTATACACAATTGAGAAAATGTGTGGGGGAAAAGCAGAATATGCACAAGACGAAAGGTCACAACCACAAATATTAATGTTATGATGATTATGAGACTAATTAATATGCAGGGAAAAAAGACTAAAACCACAATAATAATTCTTGCATTTGATATAGCGCTTTTCACGTCGGGAGGATGTCCCAAAGCGCTTCACAGAACACACTGTAAAGTGAATTGACTGTATATTTGTGGGTGAACGCGGCAGCCAATCGCGCACAGCAATGTCCCACAAACAGTCGTAGATTGAAAATAACCAATTTATTACTGTTTTTGGTTTTGGAGGGATTATTATTAGGCTCTGTGTGGAGTAAGGAAACTTGCCCAGGGTTTCGCCCTCTGCCTGGAATTGAACTCAGGTCTCTCACTTGCAAAGCTACAGGACTCCACAACTGCAAAGAGAAGGAAATAGAAATAAAAGACAAAAAGGAAAAGAGTTTTGATACAAATGAGAAAATATGGTTCAGAATATGGATCTCAAGACAGAAAAGTGGACAAATGGGATGATACTAAAACCTTAAAAATCCAAGGACCTGTTTGATAGAAGACAAAGCAAACTGATGCAGAAGAACGCCTTGGGAGATAAGAAAAAGAGTAAACAGAGAAGGAAAAATAAAAAGGAGAGAGATGAAGAAAAAACTGGAGATAATCAAAACTAGATGAACGAGCGAGAACATGCACAAGATTCAGAGGAGAGATTAGATGACCAGCAAGGTTAATGGAAGACTGAAGAATAAGGACTGGAGAAATGAAGATGTAGTAACACTTTCAAAGTTAAGACAATTGGAGTCAATGAGATAGACAGGAAGTACAAAACGACATTGGGAGTGGAACAAATGTGTATGGTTACAGTTAGTGGATCGAAGTGCTTCGAGGAGAGAATAAAGAAACATATGATCACACTTGTACTTCGGATTGTAATTATTGTAAGATTGACACATACATTTAGCTACATGGATGGTCTTAAAAACATGGTTTTATTACACTGGAATCCAGGTGGTTAAGAGGGGATCTAATTAGTATTCAAAATCCTGCAAGATTACAGAAGGATTAGAGCAAGATGTGGAACTATAAGAGTTCTGGTAATCTCATGAATGTTCTGTGTCCAGTTCTGCACATGTTCCAGGATAAAATAAAGTGAGGTGATATCATTCCCAGCACAAGGTTAGCATCACAGCAGGTTAGCATTTTGCAGTGCACTACAAAACCCAGTGTCACACAGGATACACTGGGAATTCAAGGGTACAAAATTGTGTGAATTTAGTAATCTTATAGCAATTCAACGGCTTCTGAATCACTCATCTCATTATTTCTAAAAATAATGATTCTTTAGCTATTGAAAGAAATTTGAACATTATGGAAGGCTTTCATTTCACTTCAAAAACCCGTGGGTCAAAGCAAAAGCACAATGAAAACTCCCACTCCGATACACTCGTTGCCTGAGGCACCTCTTATTCCCACTTAAGTCTGTTTCCTAGACTTAAACATTTGTAGAATGTCAATCTCAACCACTAAACAAGTTGAACACAGGCTAAAACTCCACTGCAATCAGTATCATGGTCACATTTACTGCTGATGCACAAAGCAGAAGCCTGGATGGCACTCCTGAAAAAAGGTAGACAAGCTTAAAGGGGTCATCTCCTGGCCATTCGCGCACAGCTTCTGGTACCATGATCAGATCAGCAATGGCCAAGGGGGCTGTATGGTCACCTAAGGTAGATGTATGGCCTCAGGGAGGAAATATTATCTCCTCCCTTTCTCTCCCCCTCATCCCACTGCATATTTAAGAAAACAGTCTCTAGGAATACAGTAAAATCCTATTATAACACCAGTTGAGGTCCATAATATCCCAACTAGTGTTACAATAAGACAAGACTGCCCGCTAATGCTTCCGCATTCACTGCACGTGCACACAGAAAGCTGGCTGGCACATGCAAGGGAAGTGATTGTGGCAGCAACCTGATGATCCACAAGAAAGCCATTTTTAAGCAAGAAGCTGGTTGGTGTTTTGAAGCAGGCTGGCCGGCTTTCTGTGGGCATTTGTATATTCTTTGTTAAGTAAGTATTAGGGTCCACATGTCCATCACACAATAAGCAAATCTGCATTATAACAGGATTCTATTTGGTGCTCAGCATTGACCACAATCACACTTCCGATGATAATAATAATGATAATAATGAAAAATTAAAAGCGAAACTTTCCTGTTGATACAGTCTCACCTTGGCCTTATCCCTCATTGAGCCTTTTCCAAGGATAGACATTTTTGTGCCAGTTTCTTCTTGTAACCGTTTTAATGAGTTTCCTCTAGGCCCAAGCAGTTTTCCTACAAAGTTGAACTGGAAGCAAAATTAGAAACTTAATATGCAGCCACAATACAACAGGTACTAGAATAATTATATAAAATTTGGAAGAGACTAATTTCTCCCTCAGGTGCTTGAGAATCCCCATCAAAAAATTAACTGTGGATGTTATAAACGTGGCCGATTCCGGTAACAAGACACAATGGCATTTTTAAAAAAACATATTTGCTCATTTTTATAGTGCAATAAACTAAGAAAATAGTCACGCTACCTCTTCTCTACCTAAACGAATTTCAAGCACATCGTCAGATCATCAAGGCTTGCTGTCAGAGCAGAAAATTCCCAAAATGCAGCCGCTCAGAAGACACACAAAATCCTTACCTTTGGGAACTGCGCAACTGGTATCAGACATCGTTCAGAAAGCTTGATATTTTTCTGTGTCAGGATGTCAAGGAACCTCTTTTCCTCATCTTTCTTCTCGCCTTTTTGAACTTTCTCAATTTCTGAAAAGGAATAAAAATGATCTAAAAACACCTCCAAAACACTGCAAATTGGATAACCAAATTACAAGTCAATAAATTATTGTGTTCTACTTGTGTGAGTGCACTGGTCCCAACACAAACAATCACAAAGAGAGAATTCCACTGAGAAGAGCACCTTGCACTCACAAATACAGTAAAACCACTAAACGTCTTCAGGAAAAGGACGTTTAGGTGGAGAGTCAAAGCTGTGCATCATCCTTAGGCCTGCGATCTCAGTCACAAAACTAAATCACAGTGCCCTTGTCAGGAAACTGGGCCAAGCATGATAAAGCAATTACATGGTTTTACTTCAATTTGTTATAGCTTCTCAGAAAAACGCAATGTAAAACCAATTTTGCAAGCAAAGATCAGTAGAATAAGAGAGGATTTAATACGGTTGCAGACTTGCACTGAAGAAATACTTCTGTTTCCAGAAATGCGCCCGTCGGTTTACTAGCAGTCAAGGACTAGATATAATGACTAAGTCACCAATTAAAATATAAATCGTCTTCTATATTCATATCTACAATACAGAGCAGGAGAACTCAGCCCACTGCAGCATCACGGATTTTTAAAAATAAATACCGTTACAAATGTTATGACATTATAGATTAATTGCATCTCTCATGCCCTAAAGTAGCTCCACCAGTGCCTGAAGAAAAAGATACATAATATAACTGCATCTCTGACCAATGTAATGTTTTTATCAAGCATGATCCTACAATGGATCTGTACTTCAGCATTTGTGTGTAAAGGTTAATGTTTTTCTCCCCTCAATAGAAAAAATGTCCTTTCATAATGATATCCTGTTCTTTCAAGACAAATGAACTCAAGAATTCAGATCTTATCAGCTTAAAAACTTTGAACTTCAAGGCACATTAATTCCAGGGGCATAATACAAGTGATGTAAAGGAACGGGCCAGTGAAATAATGCTCACCCAGCTTTTGAAAACTGAATGGATTCCTATTGTAACTGTAGACTCAACAGAACGATAATTTAAATGCAGCTCCTGTGTAAAAGATTTGACCCTGATCAACCAACCAATTTAAACCATTGCCTCTATTAACTGGAAACTTGCCCTATGTTACAAGCATGTTTTAAATGTCTATTGCTCAAATTTCTATGTAAACAGCATATGACATCCAGTTAATGCAATAGGTTTGAAGATAAAGAAAACCTAACTCCGAGACCAGTTCCTTCTAAATCTACTTTCACATCAAACTGTTGCATACTTATAAGTCTATTTGTAACCAAAACCAGAAGCTACCAGCTAGATTTCCCCGATTGTTCACTCTCAAACTGATAAAAGGATATCAACTGTGAAGCTTTTCACCAACCATCACCAACCGACTCCTCCATCCACCCTCACACCTCGCCCATCCTCACCTCCAATGCCAACTGCGAGGCGATGCTGGACTTCCTCAAATTCAAAAATTAGGTGGATCGACTCAGCTGCCTCTGTGCTTCCATCTACTACACCCTCCCCCTCCAGCCCGGCCCCCACCCACCCCTCCCTCCACACCTTCGAACCTGTCTCCCACTCCTCTCTCACCACCACAATAACCCGCATGAAACCGACCACCTGTTCTCTCGACCCCAGCCCTACCCCTCTCGTTACCTCCCAGCTCCACCTCCTTGCCCCTCTACTCACAGACATCATAAACCTCTTCCTGTCCACTGGTACTGTTCCCACCCCATTAAAAACGGCCATCATCACTCCTACCCATACGAAACCCTCCCTGGACTCATCTCTACTCTCTTAACTACTGCACCATCTCCAACCTCTCTTTCCTCTCCAAGTTCCTGGAGCGAGTTGTTGCTTCCTAGCTTCGCTCCTTCCTCTCCGGCCACTCCCTTCACAACCCTTCCAATTGGGTTTCTGTGCCGCCCACAACACGGAAGTAGCTTTGGTCAAAGTGACAAATGACATTTTGTCCATCTGCGACCAGGGCTCCCTCTATCTCCTTGACCTCTCTGCTGCCGCCTTCGACACCATCAACCACTCTATCCTCATCCACCACCTCAACCTTCACGGCCCTGTCCTTGATTGATTCAGATCATACCTCTTACACTGGCCACTTCATCTCCACAAGTAGTTTCTCCTCTAGCCACCGTACCGTCTTGTGCGGCGTTCCTCAGGGCTCTGTCCTCGGTCCACTTCTCTTCAATATCTATGTGCCCTGTCTTGGTGACATCATCCACAGACATGGGGTCAACTTCCAGATGTATGCGAATGACACACAACTTTACCTCTCTGCTACCACCCTTAACTCCAGGACCACCGACGTCCTGACAGAGTGTCTGTCAGACATCAAGTCCTGGATGAGAGCTAATATTCTTCAGCTGAACGTCAACAAGACCAAGGCTCTCCTGATTGGCTCCCGTCAGCGCCTCCATACCTCAAGTGCTGACAGGATCACCATCCGTGGTGGTACACTCCACCTCGCTAAGCCAGTCCGGAACCTTGGCGTCTTGTTTGACTTTCAACTATCATTTCTAACCCACATCTGTGCCATGACTCGCTCTGCCTTCTCCCAGCTCCGCAGTGTCGCCTGGCTCCGCTACCACCTCACACTACAGACCACCGAAACCCTCATACACGCTTTCATTACATCGAGGTTTAACTATGCAAAGTCATTGCTCGTCAACCTCCCCAATTCCTCCCCCCATAGGCTGCAGATCATCCAGAACTCTGCAGCCCGTATCCTCTCCGGCACCAGACTGCGTGACCCAATCGCCCCCATCCTCGCCTGACTCCACCCGCTTTCCATTACACAGAGGATACAGATCAAGATCCTGTTCCTCACCTTCAAAGCCCTCCGTGGTCTTGCTCCCCCTACCTCTGCAACCTCCTAACCCCCTATCATCTTGCTCACACCCTCCGCTCAGCGGGCTCCGGCCTGCTTCACGTACCATGCCTCACTTGCCCCATTATTGGCGGGAGGGCCTTCTGCCACTCTGCCCCCATCCTCTGGAACTCCATCCCACAGTCCCTTCACCTCGCCGCCTCCCTTGCCTTTTTCAAGACCCTCCTCATCGACCACGTTTTCAATCACCCTGCTTCTCGCTCCCTGATCCCCAGCTCGGGTCCGAAACTCCGACTGTCCAGCACTTTCGGATGTCCTCCCAACGTGAAAAGCTCTCTACAAATGTAATTTTTTTGTTGCTGTTCTACGATTGAGTATACAGAGGAAAACAACCACTATTGTTTAACTCCCTCCTTCTAACCAATCACTCACTCCCTATCTTTCTGTCAAGTCTCACCTCTAAACCTTACGTTCCTAAGGTACTTATGCCACATGCCCCCCACCCCCGGTTCAGTATCCACCCCATCCCTATAAAGCACCCCAAGTTGTTATTCTGCTACATTAAGAGCATTATATAATTGCATAAATTAATATAAATTGTTTTAAAAATAAACGGGGCCACATGCTTAAAGTAAAATCATTCCATCAAGGTTAGATGTAGTACAATTTGGTCCTCTTCGGGGACAACTTCAACATCGAAAATGTCTAGATATCTTTGCACAAACCATACCTGAAATGCACTCAGTTCAATAAAGAGGAAATCAAAGAGACAGTCAACACACAATTCCTGACAACACACCACTATTACCAACCTACTCTAACCTCTAAATGTCTGAAAATAAAATGTGCATATCCTACAACAGAGAGAAAAGGTTGTGCATATGTTGCGTTTTACAATATAACTGAAGCTTCTCCACAGATTCGCAGGTAGATAACATCTGAAGCACTGATTACAGAATGCTGGGACATATATTCCAACAGCTGTCAGACTTTACAGTCGACGTTGGGGGGAGGGAGGAAGCGGAGGAAAGAAAGATCCCACGACCCACAAGGAATGACAAGAATGCAGAACCACAGCGCCACCCTGCTACAATCTTTCCAATGCACAAAACAGTGAAACATCAGGCTCAGCAGAGTCGCCCGAGTTTGAACAGCAGTCAAACAATGAAGGTGTCCACTAATCTGCTTCAGGCAAGTGGTGTGTGTGTTCATCCATCATGGAATATGTTAGCAGTGAACAAGCAAACTGACAACTATGACCTGAGAAAATAAACTCCAAAGACAAAATGCCATTGGACAAAACATGACATTCAAACCCATCATTGTTTTTCTCAATTTCACACTTTGATATCTATGTAATTACATCAGAGGCATGAAAATTATGAACCTGCACTGTTGAATCATGAAGACAGTAGAAAGCAAAAGAATCAAGATTAGTTTCAGCTCTCTCATTACGAAGCAATTCATATCGAAACGTCCTTCAGTCAGGACACATCGCAGATAAAAATCTGATTTCAGATTTCAAACTCAAGAGGAAAATATGTCAACTAGATCTTAACAACTCTCCAGCCTAATACAGATTACACCACTTGAGTACAATCATTCCATACCTATTCTTCATCAATTAGTAAACATGCAAAGATGAAAGACAATTCAGTTAATATCAATTCTATTGTAAAATTGTAAAAACACTTCCAAACTGTTTGCAAATACAGTTGTTGCATACATCGCGTGCCTCCAGACTAGAAAGGTGCTATACAAATGTAATTTTGCTGGTCGAACATTTTAGATAGCACGAGCGAGAGCATGACAAAATTTACCAATTGAGACAACTGTTCATTTCCATGAAGAGATGGCACTCAACTCACTAAATACATGTTATTGTTGATGATTATTACATTTGGGTAACAGAACTAGAAGCAAACGAACGCAAATAGAAAATCCCAATTTGCCCACTTCCAGGCATTTGAAACGGGAACCCCAAAACAATTAGCATAAATTAGATTCAACACACAGATATACCAAGCACTACTGAACTTCTAGTACTGGATAACTGAAACTGACAAGTCTCAGATCTTAAGCAAATTATGTTCAACTAAAATGGAAATTTGGGCTTATGTAATTTTACACTGAAGCCCAACAGTTAAGCTAATAAAAATTGCATACCTTCCTTGAACCAAATGCACCCAGAACTTCTACAAATACGACACTTCTGTTAACTGTAGAAAGTCACTGAAAGAGTGAATTAGTACCAACTGAAGATGTTCAGTCACTGCAATTTAGCAATCCACTTAAGTGGTTTCAAACAAATCCTCTCAACTTCAAAACTTAGTCATCAAGTCAAATGCTCAAGGTGTTCAAGCACCTCATCCTATCCATCCAGACAATTACTCATAGAAAGTCTTGTCACATATTTACCATACAGATGTCACCTTTGTTTACACAATATTTACTCACCAAATGCGCACATTGCAATTGGTTTATCATAATATAGTTAAATATCCAATATATGGCAATATATCATATGCAAGTAACTAGGCAAAAGCAACGTATTTCTGTCCTGTTGTCACCCTGTAGCAGAACAGCTTAATGCTGTCTTGTGCTTTTACATTCTTAATCATGAAGAAACGTCATGTCTGAAACAATCCATTTGAAACACCAGGCTTCTCCCTTCACTAACAGCAGTTTTAACCCTGACACAGACCCTGGAGATCACAAACAAACAGTAACACGCTTCACCTTCCCCACAAATAAATGCAGCTATTGCACAAGTTTTACACTTGAAGATTAAAACAGAAACTTGACAATTAAAATACATTTGGAAGCCAACAAGCACCTGCTATACAAGATTCAACCAAGCAGCTGCTATCTGCAGAAATAGCTAAATGTTTCAAACCCCCTCATATTTCAAATTACTTGTAGCCCTTAAAAAGCTATAACTCAAGATCGATAGCTGGACATGAACTAATAAAGCTAAATATGGACTTATGAATTAAGGCTTTTTAAAAAATGTCATTATGACACGAGATGAGGAACATTACCTTGCCTCTAAACTGTTTAGAGGCACGGGTGGGTGTTGCATTACTGCAATTCCTAAAAGCTTTCATCTGTTCCTGAATGTTTCATTGGCACATTAGCATTGAATAATAAATGTAAACAAGTGCGACAGACAACAAGAACAACTTTCATTTATATAGCACCCTTCAAGCAAGCAGCGTAGAGACATCATTTTACAACAGGTAACGAAGTTGGAAATGTGGATTACATCTGCCTTGCGCCAATGCCTGAGGGGTTTTAATTATAAGACAGACTGCAAAACACTGACCCAACGTCAGTCTGTATTACCACATTACTAATTCAACATGAAATAGAATCGGAAACCATGATATGGCAGATACAGCTGAACGTGTCTTTATTTTAAGAGTCTGACAGTCATCCTGCCACTCGGCAATACAGGAAGCAGCCTGACAACAAGCATCAACCTTTCACAAAGCGGATCGAATTATCCTGTGAACTTTATCAAAAAAAACAACAGCCATTTAAAACGTTGCAGCACTTGTTTTTAAAAAAAAAGGAGGAGAAAAAAAAGGATATATTCCCGTCTGTATGGAAACGAATTCCAAGTCGAAAATGCCACGAGCATCAATTGGCTTTTTGTTGGGTGTCCAGGTGCAACAACCTTTTAAAAAAAGCATTTATAGCCGCCAGGGGTGGTGCATGCAACAACCCCCCCCACCCCCAAAAAAAAAAACACCACCACCACACACACACGTTAAAATCGTGGTCACGGTTGAATCTGAAACTGAAGGTCGCCAAACTGTTTAATAATAAAAAAAGAGAGGTTCGGGCTTCGCTGCGGCGGCCAACAACACAACACATGGGAAGAAGTTTTTTTTCCCCCCAATACAGTAACTACACTCCCCACACTGTGCCCAGAGGCACGTGCGCTCTCTCTCCCTCTCTCTCTCTTTGTGTCACGCTCATTGTTGGGGGGAGATAACGGTTGGGGGGTAACGAGAGAGAGAGAGAGAGGGAGGGGGTAACGAGAGAGAGAGGGTAACGAGAGAGAGGGGATAACGAGAGGGAGGGAGAGGGAGGGGGTAACGAGAGAGAGAGAGGGTAACGAGAGAGAGAGAGAGAGAGGGTAACGAGAGAGAGGGGAAGGGGGTAACGAGAGAGAGGGGGAGGGGATGCTCTCTAATGTGTAAACGCCGATGAGGGGGCTCAGGCCTCATTCCTTTTGGCGGGACTCCCCCCCCTCCTCCTCCTCCCCGCCCCCACGTGTCCCGCTCTCTTTGTTCTGCGCCGCAACTTAAACCCAACGCCGCTCGGCGGCCCCGCGCGCTTCCCGTCCCACCCGCTGAGGGGAGGGAGGGAGGGGGGAGCCCGAGCCCACCCACCCACCCACCCCGCCGGCGGATAGCCCACTGGCTGACTCTCTTGCCGGGCCGCAAACCAACTATAGAGCTCCGCTTCTTCCACACCGCTTACATCCCGCCCGCCCGCCACCTCACACAACACCACCCGGGCCTTGCCCGCCCGCCCGCCCTCCTCACCATCGCCTCAGCCCATCCCCGGCCCCGGTCCCCGCCCGCTCGGGGCCCACGTGTCGTGTCGGGGCCCCGCTGATTGCTGCTTCATTCACCTGCGGTCAGCAGCCGGGTGGCGTGCACGAAGGACGGGTCCAGGCTGTCCCTCTCGGCCATCAGCTCGGGCAGGTACTTGTTCTCCGTCGCCATTGCGTGATCGCTTGCGGGGATGGAGGTGGTGCTGAGCTCCGCGCGCTGCGCCTCTGCTTCCTCTGGCCGCCAACCGCCACTATAAGCGCGCCGGAAGGGGCGGGAGTCACTCGCCGCCCACGGCGGGCGGGTCGTCCGCCGGGCGCCTGCCGATTCGTCGCAGGTGCACGTCAATCCAACCCGCTGAAGGTTCGATTGGTCGCCAGAGCTGTCACTCGCCAGTGGAGCGGGGGCGGACCCGCGCCCCCCCCCGAGCCGTCACTCACAAGCGCTGCGCGGCTCTGATTCGCGAGGAGGCTGTACGTCAGTCAAAGCAACCGTCACGTCAATCACAGAAGGGTCCGCCTCCCCACAGCGCTTGCTCCACCCACGCCCCGCCCCCTTTGTCTGTGTGGGCGGGGCAACGTGAGAGCCACCTGTCAATCACACACCAGGACCCTGGGCAGCTGCATTGCCAAGGGGTTACCCCCCCCCCAACCCACGCTCCGGGGTGTTACCCCGAGCCTTGGCTCTTGCCAACATATCTCGCCTAATACGTTCCGGAATTAGGTTTCGCCCACAAAAACACACAGTCACTACACTTTACGCTATTTCCAGTGACGTGCTTTCAGGCGTCTCTAAGACGTTGGTAAGACGCTGTGTCAGATGGAAGGGAGAGAGAGAGAGAAAGAGTTTGCATTCCATTCCAACAACAACAAGATTACATTTATAGAGCGCCTTTCACGTCGGGAGGACGTCCCAAGGCGCTGGACAGTTGGGTCGGGACCCGAGCATTGGGGGGAATGGTCAGAGTGAGGGGAGGGAAGGGAGGGAGCGAGGAGGGGGTAGAGAGTCGAGAGGGGAGCTGAAGGCTCGGTCAAAGAGAAAGGTCTTGAGACCGGCCTTGAAGGAGGAGAGGGAGGAGGCGGCGAAGGCACTGGGGGATGGAGTTCCAGAGCCTCGGGGCTGAGAGGCTGAAGGCCCGGCCACCGATGGTAGGGCAGTTGGGGCGGGGGATGTGGAGCAGACCGGAGCCAGAGGAACGGAGGGTACGGGCAGGTAAGTAGGGATAGTAGGTCGGAGAGGTAGGAGGGAGCGAGGCCGTGAACGGCCTTGTAGGTGAGGATGAGGATCTTGAATTCGATCCTCTGGGGGATGGGGAGCCAGTGGAGGCGAGCGAGGGCGAGGGTGGGAGTGATGGGGTCCCGAAGCCTGGTGCGGGACAGTACACGAGCTGCAGAGTTCTGAATGACCTGCAGTGTGGAGGGAGGGCCGGGAAGGCCGGCGAGGAGAGAGTTCCCATAGTCCAGGCTTGAGGTGATAAAGGCGTGGGACCAGAGTTTCAGCCGCGTGAGGTAGTTCCGTAGTCTGGTGAATTTATGGAGGTGATGGAAGGCGGTGTGAGTTGTGGCCCGGATATGAGGAAGAAAGGACAGCGCAGGGTCGAACAGAATGCCAAGGTTCCTGACCGGCTTTGAGAGGTGGAGAGTGCAGCCTTGGTTGAGAAGGGAGGGAAGGGGAAGGGGGGTGGCCGATGGCATGGTCGAAGAGAAAGCTTTTGAGGCAGGACTTGAAGGAGGCTAAGGAGGGGGTGAGGCGGAGTGATTGGGGGATGGAATTCCAGAGGTTGGGGGCAGAGTGGAAGAAGGCTCTCCCATCAATGGTGGGGTGTGTGGGTTGGGGGACGTGGAGCAGGCCAGAGCCGACTGAGCGGAGCGAGCGGGCGGGTTGGTAGGGGATTAGAAGGTCACAGAGGTGGGACGAGGCCAATGAGGACTTTGTATGTGAGGACCAGGATCTTGAACTGGATCCTCTGAAGTATAGGGAGCCAGTGAAGTCGAGTAAGAATGGGGGAGATGGGGTCACGGAGTTTGGTGGAGGGGAGGACATGGGCTGCAGAGTTCTGGGTTATCTGCAGACTGTGGATGGAAGAGATGGGAAGGCCGACAAGCAGGGCGTTTGCATAGTTGAGCCTGGAGGTAATGAAGGCATGAACAAAAATTTCAGTGGCCTGAGGGGTGAGATAGTGGCGGAGTTGGGTGATGTTAAGGAGCTGAGGCTTGGATGTGGGGAAGAAAAGACAGTTGAGGGTCGAACAAGACACTTAGGTTCCTGACTGGCTTGGTGAGGTGAAGTGTGCAACCATGGAGATTGATGCTGCAGAGTTCCGGATGGTCAGCAGCCTATGGAAGGAGGAGTTGTGGAGGCCAACAAGCAGTGAGATTGTGTAGTATCTCTGGGATACTATCTCTGGGATTTGCATGTGTGGGTGGGATGCATGGAAATCTCAGTTTGGGTTTGGGTTTCTGTATGTGTCAGACGCCCAGCTGATTTAAAAAAAAATCAAAAGTGAAATTACACAGCAACAGGTACCAGCGGAGGTGCAGTTACACTCTTGCTGCTCAATCAGAAGGTTGTTGGTACAAGCCCCAAACCAGGACTTTGAATTCACACTCCAGTGCAGTGCTGAGGGGATGGGTGGGGGGGGGGGGGGGGGAAGTCTTGCATTGACAGAAATGCTCCTTCCTATGAGACGTTAAACCGAGGCGCCATCTACCTGTTCAGGTGGATGTTAAAGAGGGGGAGTTCTCGTTTCTGGGCACTGGTCAAAAATCCCCCCTCCCTCCCACCCAAATAAAATTGCTCATTCACTTCATGGTGAGACACTGTTGTTTACAATTAGGCTGCTTGCTGTGTTTACCTGCAAAATACACAGTCACCCCAGTTTATAGCAAATCCTGTTGAAGGTCCTGCTTTGAGATGTCCTTGTGATGGATTAACAATGGAACACAATGGTAAACAGCCTGTTAATGGCAAGCACACTTAGAACATAATGAATAGTCGACCGAATGTTGTCAGTCATTCAGATGTGGTTCGAAAAGTACACAAGTGCAGGACTGTACAGGAAGGCACCACTGTAGCTCTTAGTGCTTCTGGAGATAAAGGTCAGTGCGTTTCCAAAAATAATTTTAAAAAATGTGCGCACATGCTGTGTGCTGATAATCCAGAACTCTGCAGCCCCGTGTCCTCTCCCGCACCAAACTCTGTGACCCCATCTCCACTAATCTCACCCGACTCCTATTCTTCAGAGGATCCAGTTCCAGATCCTGGTCCTCACCTACAAAGACCTCCATGGCCTCGCCCCACCCTACCTCTGTGACCTCCTAACCCCCTACCAACCCCCTCCTTCTCCCTCCGCTCAGCCGGCTCCAGCCTGCTCCACGTCCCCCTATCTACCCGCCCCACTATTGATGGCCTTCAGCCACTCTGCTCCCAACCTCTGGAATTCCATCCCCCAGTCACTCCGCCTCACCCCCTCCTTAGCCTCCTTCAAGTGCCACTTCAAGACCCTTCTCTTCGACCATGCCATTGATCACCCCCCTGCTCCTCCCCTCCCTTACCACCCGAACTCCAGCTCGGGTCTGAAATGCTGTACTCTGTCCAGCGCCTTGGGACGTCCTCCCGACGTGAAAGGCGCTATACAAATGTAATCTTGTTGTTGTTGTTGTTGCTGTGACCCTGCCACATTCCCCACTAAGAAGTGGGCGATAAGGAGTGGGGTACAAGACCCCATTTGTAACTGCGCCCTGCAAACGGAGGCAGAGCCCCGAAGCGGGGAAGCCTTGGTCCCTCCACTTTGGTGGAGTGTGCAGAGCAAGCCTCCCCCTCCACCGCCACAAGGGGCCGGTTCTATCACGTCCTGTTGACAGGCTAATAACATGTTGCGTCTTTCCTTCTGTAACACTGTCTGAGATAAGTGTAAATATATGTCGACATAAATATATATTTTGTTAAGTCAGTGTGTTCCACCCCTTCTTGGACACTCGTTATAAATTATATATGTTTTGTCATTTTGTGTAAGGATTGAATATATGTTGCAGAACTGCTTGAGAGACTTGACTTAATAAACTATGGAAAAACTTAAAGTAGCGATCTCTCTGTCTATCAATAAACAAGATAAGGCGTAGTCCTCCTAGTTTGAAAGACCCCGAGGTCTTTTGCTCACTCAAACCTGGCATGTTTGGCATCAGGATATTGGAATCGAGTCAACCTTCTCTGGCGGTCATGGTAGTCCGTTCTTGAGCCAGGCGAGTCTGCAGTACTCCAGGGCACTGCAGATGAAAGATTAGCTCGTTGGCAGGCAGACAGGACCTCAACTGAAAGTTTCATTTAGAAGACGGCACCGCCAACAATGTAACACTGCATTGGAATATCAGCTAAGACGATGAACTCAAGTCCCAATGCGGTGCTCACCTTTGCCTTCTGACGCAAAGGTGAGGGTGCTACTAACTGAGCCAAGCTGATGCTTATAATATCATCCACAAAGGCAGGGTGACATATGGGAAGCTGTCACTCTAGTGGACTCCTTTCACTCCTGGAATCTGAGTTTGAGTCCAGCCCAAATAAAAGTCTTTTCACTTCCAGTTGAATGTGTTCCATTTGAAATGAAAGTAGTTAAAGTGGGCAATGGCCTCACAGCAAAAACTTCGCATATTCCAGACAGGGCGAAACCTTGGGCAAGTTTCCTTACTCCACACGCCTACTAATAATCCCTCCAAAACAAAAAAAAAACAATAATAAATTGGTCATTTTCAATCCATGACTGTTTGTGGGACATTGCTGTGCGCAATTGGCTGCCGCGTTCGCTCACGAATATACAGTCAATTCACTTTACAGTGTGTTCTGTGAAGCGCTTTGGGACTTCCTCCCGACGTGAAAAGCGCTATATCAAATGCAAGGATTATTATTATTATTATTTTTCTGCTAATTGGCACTAAATTGTCAATTTCACTCTGAGAGGACCACAAGGAATAGAAACTGGAAAACTCCACTTACTGTATTTGACAAGCATCTCATTCAGATAAATTCATGTGTTTTTGTGTGCTCTAAATAAGAGAGAAATGTACCATTGAAAGAAAGAAATTGCATTTTTACAGTGCTTTATCAGGTCAAAACATCTCAAAGCGTACAAAGCACAGCAACAACTGTACACTTGTCAGACAGTTATCTGTGAAGCACTTTGATAAGTTTTGATTCTGTACACATTTTATCAAATGTAAGAGTTATAGAGCCCTTCACAGTAATTATCATCAA